TGGAGTCTGGAATGAGAAGCCAAGATTGGTAGATGCAGACCAAAAAATTACCTAACCCAACTCTTGTGTATTTTAAAAGGGACACAAAGGATTTATTGAAAGTTTTCTTCCATATTTGAATATCATTTTCATTTTTATGTACATCAGTACATGAGAATGGTGCTAATGAGGGCAGATCTGATCATTATTGGATTCTGTGTGGTGAGGAACTGCCCTTAGAGAATTTACCACATAGTTCCTTAGCTCTATAAGACTTAGTCCAAAGTTATGAAGGGCATAGTTTAATATCTCATTTTATTCCTTTTGGAAGAGGTATTGGATGCCTGAATATTTTATTGATTGAATTCTCACAATTTTAATTTGGTTCTAAAAAAAGATACACTTGTTGTCTTTATGGTAATTGTGTTATCAATTATTTGCAGCTGCAGCTGCTTTGAATACTATTAATATTTTGAATTTTATTACATGAAGTGAACATGTTTCATTGCAGAATGACTTTAATTTTTCCATAGATAATTTCAAATGTAACAAGAACCAAAATGGTGTGCCTTGCATTTTTATTGAGCATTTGGGATTAATCATAACATACATCAGTAATATGAGTCTGTTATGAGTCTATATGGTATCCACTTTCCCTTTGCTTTTTTACCCTTTTTATCCTCCCCATCTCAAATCCAGTGTGATTTGTCTCCCTTGTAATTTTAGTTTGCCAGCAAATTATGAAATTGAGCACAGCAGGAGGAATATATTTATAGATAAAAGACATTAACTAATATTTTGGGCAGATCTTATTTCAGTAATTACAGATAATACAAGAAATCTGGGACAGAAATTAAGCTTTCATTCATTTTTTCCCCCAATTTGAGGAAAAGTGACATTTTCATTCATAACTGATGTCCTTCTGGAAAGTTTTTTTACGCACTTATTTAAAAAAATACATTGATTACAAAAAGCTTGAAAAGGGCATATTAAACATTTGTTCAAGCATCAATTATTTAATAAATAAAATTATTTCATTATTTGATGGTTGAAGAGATAATTTGGGAATATTATGTTTTCAGTTGCCATACTTCCATCTGCGGTTTTAACTATTAAACTAATTTTAGATACTGACCCAAAAATGGCAGATATTAGTTTAGAAATATCTAACAAAAAATGCCAGAATTTATTATGAACTTTGTTCTATCTTGACATTTTTGTTTGGTACATATATGTCTGTTTGCTTGTTGGACAAGTTTCTGGTGAGCTGCTGCCATATGCCAGCTTATGGTTAGCAAGTTTAAATTCTTTCAAATGCAAACAAGAAAACATTGATGTAACCATCAATTGTCGCCTGGGAAATAAATAAAGTAAACAATGGAAATGAGTCTTTATCATCAAACCGCTTCGATATGTGTGAAAAAGGCATGCGTCTAAATGATGGAGACGATAGTCGAGAATATTTTGAAAACTTATAGTTGGATGAAAATCGAACAAAAACGATACCCTTTTAAACTTTATCAATTCCTCAAGTAAATGTTGGCTGCAAAAAATATAATTTGAAACCAGGCACATGCATCACCTATTTTCAAAAATATCTTTCACTTTAAGAATATAAAACACGAACTGTGTAAAGTACATTTTTACGTTTTTATGCGATAAGTAAAATTCGATGTTCTAAAAAAAGGGACCTGTCATTTTTTCGATAGTAAATGATAAGCAACTTTATATATTAAATATGAAAAACATATATATTTTTACAGATTCACTTTATGGAAGTAAATATATTGTGTATCTCTTAATTTATAAAGGGAAAGAACATTCTGATTAACAATCTTTTTAATGTTTAGAAAACCTTTAATTCTGAATAACTTCTCCCACCTCAATCCCCATATACCAACACTTAAACTTATATGTATAGAGCAGCCCGGTCCTCCGGGCTGCAATAATATTGGAAACCTGTGAGGTACAGCTATCTTATTCAAAAAAATGTTGCTTTTTATTACTCTCTTGAATGATGGATCTTTTTTTTGGTAACATTACTTGCAACAGTGCAAGTCCTGTAGAATAATATTAGAATATAGAAAAAATTACTTCAGAAAGGACACAAAATTTTAAGTTAATAAATGTTTTATTTTGATGAAAGTTTGAAAATTACTTAGTTGCCTTCTGTAGATTTTTGCTTTTAAATTTTTGGAGATATTAGTTTGATTGGTTGATTAAGAATTCATGCTGATCAAGTGACCAATCCCTTTTATGATCGAGTTGTTAGATCCTTTGTGCATAGATGGTATTGGAGGGGATCAAAGAATTTGATATCAAAGCCATTTTAGAATTGACTTAATTCGAATGTATAGTGAGAATTATTACTTGTATAGATTCAACATGGAAATACATTTATTACAAAAAAATTTTGACTATTAAGTCACTCAAGAGAATTAATGAATTTAATGACTTTTTTTGTCGAATTTAAAGAAAAAAAAAAAAGAAATTATGTAAAGTCTTAAATTTGTCTAATTTTTTTACCAAAAAAAGTAGATATACATTAATCCATTCCTTATTTTCCAAAGAACCTTATATAACGTTTACGGTGAAAAATATTTAATCATACTTGACATTTATTTTGTGTGTCTTTTCTGTAATTTTGATAATGAGTATTTCGTGATGACCTTGATTACCAAAAAAACAGGAGATATTAAGTGTGCATTTTGTTCTTGTTTTGGGAGCTTGGGACACAGCTATCTACATAAATGTAACAACGTGATATTAATTGATTTAATTAAGTATTCAGATCATTGTAGGGGATTGGCCACGATTAACGAAGTCTTCAGCAGTGTGCGACATATTTATGCCTCAATGAACTTCAGTTTTCGGATGTCCATCTAGTGTAACATTCCATCCATTATTTATGTAAAAAATTATTTTCAGATGTTTTGTTTAGCAACTTCTGACCAAAACAATTACGTCAGTGTTAATTTATTATTTACAAGGTGATAATTTTGTAGGAACAAAAAATACCGGTTATGATACATTGATGACTGTTAACTCGTGGTTTTTTTTTTCCTTTGAATTCCTACTTTAGACATTTTATATTAATTTCTTTTTAACATGTGCACCTGGGAAAGCAATCAAATCATGACAAATTAATTATGGATAACTAAACTTGTCTAGAGAGAAAGAATAACTCTATATATACATAATAATGAAGAGGCTATAAATTTAAGTTTGGGTAATATTTGATATATTAGACCATTTTATTGCCATTTAAGAATGACAAATAAAAGGAGTTTTCGGTTGAGATATATAAATGATATTCACATTAAAGGGGATATTTTACAGAATTTCTGTTCTTTGTGCATTTATTTATTGAATATACAGTTTATTGAATTACAGTTAAGCATACCTGTCAGTCACACACACAAATACTGTGGAAATACCCTCTTTCCAAAATGGATTTTTTTTTTCAATAGAACAGAATTACCAATGTGGCTATAAAAAAAATGCTGTAATTTGTTAGAAAATATATTTTATTGACATTTTCAGCTGCATTAAATATTTATGATAACATATAACTAGTACACTGATATTCCAGGTACTAGTAATAATTAGAACAGTTTTTGTTCCTCTTATTTAATGCTTTTAATCTCTGATGTATTCAAAACTACTAAAATTTAAACAAGTCTGTGAAAGCATCCCCATTGATATTAGCTTAGTCACCACCCCTTTAAACAACTCAGTATTATTGTGGACCTGATTGGGGGGGGGGGGGGTCTTCTAATGCCCAAAATTTATTACAGATTGAAATTTGTGGCTTGAAAACCAGAATGCAGACACCTGAATAGTTAAATTGATAGAATTGCAATGAATTGGAAAAAAAAAAAAAAAAAACTTAAAAAATATGATTTTTCTTTTTAATGTTGAATTATTTAGAATGAAAATATTATGAATTAAATTTTGCAAAAAAAGATTAATAAGTTATCACCAGAATTTCATTGGACATTTTGTTAAAAACAACAATGTTGTGTAACTTTGACAGAATTGTGTTTTTTTTTAATGTAGATCGGTTGAATTAGTACATCTATAATTAAAGTCTTCATTACGTGTCATAATTTAAGAGAAAAAAATGATCCTTCAGTTTTAATTGACAAAGAAATTTAATGAAGCAACAATTTAAAAAAAAAAAAAACAAAACAAAGAGACATTTATTTATCACTTTTGTAAGTTTGGTCTCTGTGTTGGTTGACCACAGTGCCCACCATCGGACTATGGCTGACTTGTTAACAGATGGTTGCCCACTCAAATCAGAGTTGTGATACGACTTTTTACTGGCTGTCAAAAGTTTTGTCAAGGGAGAAACAAATCGTGATTTGTAACAAATTTGCTGTCAAAAATGGTGAATTTTTGGTCATTACCTATAGGCATGCTTGCTTTTCTTAAATGACTTAGTGTCTGGATTTTGATGAGAAATCTCTGGTACCATACCTTGCAGGCATTAGAGATATGAAAAATGACCATTTTATAAATTGTCAACCTTTAGAGGTGAAACCTACTGTTGCAAATTGTTTTTCTTTTTTTTTATCTTAGCCATTTTTAAAAGATAAATCTGTATTAGTTGAACTTTATTATCCATGCAATTACATGTGCATATATACTGTATGAAAATTGTATAAATGTTGTTATTTGTTGGAAGAAAAAAAACTGTGATAGAAGCCACTGGCTGCTTGTGTTGTTGTTTTGTGGTTACTGTTGCTGTTGCATTACCCATTCTTATGTCTTAATTTCCACAGTCAGACAAAAGTGGCCTGAGATGTCTTTTGTTTATATGTAGATCTGTCCACCTTATACCCAGAACCCTATATGAAATATGTTATTTAATGGAGGAAGCAAAAAGAAAACAACCTGAAATTATTAATTAATGACCCTTCCATTCTGTTTTATGCTGTGCATTTAGCAAGCATAGCTATTGGAACCTTGATTTTTAATTTTTTCATTGTTTAATTTGTGATTTTTCTGTGTTTCAGACTCGGTTGCCCCAGACAGGTATCACTGCATGCACTCAGCAGGGGTCCATACCATTGTGTTACCATGGATACAGGAATACCACAAGTATTTCACAGATGGTAAGCTCTTGAAACTTTGATTAATTAATTTCTTGAAATAATTTCTTGTTCTCTTTAAGGCTACTCAGAAAAATGGAAGACATAAACTGATGGGTGCATGAAAACATTTTGATTGTCTTGTAGAAGTACAAAGACATTTTTCAGGCAGATCTTTGTTTTTTGTTTCAGACCAGACTGACAGAGTTCCAGAGCAGGAGGATTGTATTGTAGAGCACCTAATCTGCACTAAGCCCCTCCCCTCCAGGTAATGTAGCCAATGCTATGAATATGAGAACTTAGATATTTTCTCTCGATTCAGTCTTATTACCAAGAAATCTCTTTTTTCAAGAATTTTGTTTATTTTTTTTTCTCCCTTGGAATGCTTCCATTTTGATATATCTTTATTGTTGAAAGGTTTTGCACAAAAAAGGAGCTAATGTATTGAACCAATCAGCCGCTTTTTAACCCTTTTAAAAGATTTTTTTTAAGTTCCTGACCTAGGAAAGATGAACTTTTGAAAGATACTAGGAAGAGATTGTAATTATACATTAAACCAATAGCTATAAATATTTTTTATTGGTCAATGTATCTGCAATTCTAATCACTTTTTAAAAATATGATTTGAATTTGAATACTAGGAATGGCACTGTGTGATACTAGTCTCTGATTTTATATGACGCCTGTATTGGAGACATTGATAGATAAAGACAAAAACAATGCTATAATCTTTACCTTCTTCTTTGGGCATAAATCTTCCTAAAATTGTACAATGTCTAATCTACTTTAGGAAAATTTATGGCTGTTGAATGTAAATTTTGTTTATAAATAGTACAAATGGTGAGGGGATAGATAATGAAACGCAATGCATGTTAGGTATTGCGTTTCTGGATGTTAATTAATTGACTCTGTACCTATCCTGCTCTTGTTAAATCAAACCATGGAAGATTAACGTTAAAAATTGATGTAATTTTTGTGTGTCTGCTTTAGGACATAAGGTCTATTTGACCCTAGATTAAACTAGAAACAACATCATACATATAACCAAACATTGTGCACAAAATTTTACTAATTTACATAAACACTCTCGTTAACATATTTTCCAAAGGTAGTGTCACATTTTATTGTAACATTAATTGTAGGTCTTTGCACTATAGCTCTTGTAGTTGTAATTAGTTACGGGTTGTGTCATTGAGACACAAGACATAAACTAGAATAACCAATTCTTTAGAATACCAAACATAATTACACATTTTTTTTTCTAAATTTTAATTTTTTATTTTTCTTTCTTCTTCCACAGTCCTGTTGCCCCTGTCCTGGGGCTTGGTTTAGTTAAGGGATTGTCAGTGGAGCCCTACCTCCTGACCTTGACCTCTGATTATGAACTGGTCTCCCTACCCCTTTGGTATGTACATTTGCCGACACCAGTAAATCATGTCGAGTGTTTCAGATTAACATGTTCTGACAATTAACATACATTGAGAAAAATTGATATGCCAAAATGTGGTGAAATGCTGTTGAAGTTAATTTCTTATATATTATCACATATTAGCATATTATGTCAAATAAACTGGTTTTTAAATTATTTTGTTATATAGCTGCATTTCAAGAGGATTTTCAGTTTTTATACTGTTTTAGGAGGATTGATATTGGAAAATGCAAAACATATTTTGATTTGAATTTATATGTAAATGATATGATGAACCACATGCATGTAAAAACAAATTCTGTTTGAAGAATTCGATCAAGACACACTTCATTCTCAAGTTTTGTTTTTTGTTTTTTTTTTTTTTTACCTAATACATGTACATGTATCTTTCTGCTCAAAGTTTGTGTATTTGTTTATCTATTTATCTTATGTAGATTTTTTCACCTTTTGACCTTTCCAGAAAAAATATATTTATCTTGTCTCTAAAATTAATCCAAAAGTTTCTTTCGAGGTGCTGAAAAAACTGTCACAATTAGTTCTTTGGACATCAAAGATGGCTGCCTTGACTTCTCATTGGCTGTTACATTGACCTATCCAGAATGTCAAATTGGCCATGTCTTCAAATGATTCTTCTTTCTTGTCCTATAAGAGGTGTTAATTTTGAGCAGAAAAGAAGTAATTCTGTGACCTAGACTGGCAGTGCAGCCCACAGATATATATTTTTTTCTTTTTTAAATTGGATTTTCTTTTTGTAGTTCTTGAAACAATACAGTTAAAATGTGAAAGATCTGTAATTTTTATCATTTTTTTTTCATAAACAAAATTGTGGATATATATATATATATATATATATATATATATATATATATATATATATATATATATATATATATATATATATATATATATATATATATATATATATATATATTATTCCAAAAATTGCAAAATTAAATCTTTAAAAAAAAAATAAAAATAAATAAATAAAGTATAAGAAAAAAAACCTGAGCACCAGCAAGACAGTGAGAACATTCTTTACAGAAAAAGATTATGGTGTCACAATAGGGACAAAACACAATCATTTTAGCAAAATCTGTGGTCATCCAGCATTCGCCCATTCATTTCACCTTTGAATATTAAAAAAGTCTTTTTGATATTTAATATTCATGAAATCTCTGTTTACCAACTTGCCCCTGTGATGTATTATTTAAAATATGTGTGAAAATTAATGAAATGTTTACATAAATGATCATATTTCCAATTTATTTCATATAATTGTCAAAGATATTTAAAATTATGGATCTTTCAAATTTCATGAAAGAAAGGAATGGTGAAATAGATGCATATGAATTTTGAGAGACTTTCATGAATTCTTTATTGTAGTCCTAGTCGATACCGGGACAGCGGTGAAACTCTCCACTCTTCAGAGAACCCTGAAGCCATCGAATCTCCACTGAGACGCTTGAGTCGGGAACCATTTGACATCTACATCAAGAAAATACTGCAACGCAATGTCACCAACCCAAAGATTAAGTAAAGAGCTCACTAATTGCCTAGAAACCTCAGTTGTTTAATAGAATTTCAGATTCAACTTGATTAAATGTCACTGCATAAGTATGAAGCATGTCAGCTTTCAAATCATAATTTTTTGGTATTGGTTGCCAAATTATCATACCAGATCATTTTCAAGGACAAAACTAAGCGACTCCTTGCTGACACATTCCTATGTTAAATACTTCTCCTTCTCCTCCCACCAGCAGAAATGTCGTGATATTACACGATTGTGTGTTTGGAAATAGCCAGAAGCTTCGCTGTATAAATAACAGATATAAAAAGTATACTCACAATACTTGGTTTTGTTACTTACCAATATAAAAATACATTTTTAATTAATATGGAGCTCAAAATACAGATTATGACAGGTTTGATTACAATTTCCTTTTTAAAAATTTTATTGTCACTGACAGAATCTTATGTAATTTAAATCATATTTTGCACTAAATAAAAAAATGTCATGTAAGTTGTTGCATAAGGAGAAAAAAATCCAAGAAATGATTTTTTTTAGATTTGACAAGAAAACAGAAATTTCCCAGCAGGAATGTTTCCAACTGTTGACACGTACCACTCAAGTTTTCCGTGAAGAATACCTACTGAAGCAAGAGCAAGCCCAACAGGAAATACAGAAAAGGTAAGAACATAGCCAGGGTTAGGCTCAAAACTCAATTTTACTGTCACACACTATCATGAAAACTGTAGTATCCTTGCCAGGAATATGTCAAACTATGCACCAGATAAGGTTAGAAAAGCCACATACACTGATAATAGATCCACACCCATTGGTATTTGTACATCTGCATTGTGAAAGGTAACAAATTTATCTGTTTTCAATCCCAAATCTTAGATCCTTTATTTTTTTTTTGTGATCTGCAAAGGAGGGTAAAATTTTGTGGTTGCTTGTGACAAATTTTTCTAAAGGTCAGGGCTTTCAAAATGATTAGGAACAGGCGGTACTTTTACAAAAATAGGAGGTACCTTGTGGAAGTAATTTTATTAAAATATGTTATCAAATTTTTCTCTATAAAATATGATTGATGATTCATGATTTCAGCAGGGTAAAAGTAATGGGTACCAGTAGATTTCAAAAGGCCTGAAAGGTGCATATATGGGAGTTATTCTAACCCTTTTGATGTGTTTAGAGTGATTGATATATCTGAAAGAGTATGAAAGAAATCAAACCACTTTGTCTAGTTGTAGTATGTTAATAATTTCATATTTATAGTTACAGTTATTATTATGAAGTCAACATGATCATGTAGCTACCAGAAAAACAAATCAAAACACTATAACAGATCTGAAAGTGCAGGGTGAATGATTTTGAGGGATACTCCGGTAGCTAAACAAAAGTTTTGATCATTTAAAAGTCATTGAATGCTGTGATTGACCTGTTATGAATATCAATTTTCTTACTGTACTTTACACATTATAAAATCAAGACCAGGGAAAATATGCTCATAATCCAGTCTTCATTGAGTTGATATGTCTTGACCTTTGACCTTAATATCATTAATATCATACATGTTCTCTATCTCTGTTAATATTGGTTTAACTTGTAAAGTTATTTAATTTTTTGTGTAGGTAGTATATGTATTAAGAATTTCTTTAAGAGTTGACCTTGATCTCTGACCTTGAATTGGTGAAGGACATACATTTTTATACATCTTTGAAATTTAAGTAACAATATATACAAAACTCTTTCATCTAATACTAGGGATGAATGATTTTAATGGTATACCGGTGTATCATGATTTTTTATTGAGCAACATGTATCCTGGCACAGAGACTAATTAAAGTATCAGTATTCAGTATGTAGTTATAGATTCTGGAAATAATTATAAATGCTTCATTAATATATTAATAAAAATGAAAAAATGAAGCTATATATTGTACATGTATGTTTTCTCACTATTTCTGTACTAAAAATCATGTAAATTCATTTAAAATCATAGTAAAATTTGTGTGTAAAAATATCGTGATATTATCGTGATATTTTTGGAAAAAATCATGATACAGATGTATATCGCAATACAAAATTTTTGATAATACCCGTCCCTATCTAATACACACATGTTGTCAATTGTATGAGTTGGAGTGTCTTTCATTGAAAGTTTTTGAGCATGTTATGAAATTTTTATCAGCTGTTCAATACTCAAGGTATATGTAGTACATGTACCGTCATACATGTACATGTATCTTGTTATCTCAATCTCGACAGGACCAAGATTTAACTTTGAGATATCCAAAAACTTGAGATACTGGGGGTAAAAAACATGAAGAAAAACATGCAAGGACTGCCAACTCACTTTGACCTACCCCTGGTGTTTGATATATTGGTGTTCCAGATAACGAAATTCAATTGTAGTTTATTTCTGCCGGGTTACAAAGAAACTGCCCTGCAAGTTAGTTATTTTTTCCAAATCATGTTTAAAATGTTACAGTATAAATCAAATTTCTGTTACTGCTATTAATAAGCACATGTAAGTGACATATTTTTCTTGGAAAACTTCAGTTTGAAATACCACTTAAGGAAATCTTAGGCTGTAAAATGGAATCTTTTTATAGTCCTGTCCTTTAAAAGTTTTGACAGAATTTGAACAAGATTATACTTAATGCATTGGCTTATGTGTATCAAGAGAGACAAATGTGATTTAACCAAGTAAATTTTTAATATGAACTGTGTCAATTCAAACTGTATTCATGTGGATACATACAGACATGGATATAAAAAGGCTTTCTACTAATTATGTCCAATTAAGGAGAAATTTCTTTTTATTCTAATTATATAAACTGAGAATTTGTTTTTAGATATTGTGGTATTTATAGCAAGTCTTGTCAACAAAATAAGGCAGCGTTCCCAATGTAAGACAAAGCCAAGTGTAGTGTGAATGTCTCACTTCATAGTGGCTCGTAAACAATGTGTCAGTGCAGCATGGTAACGATTAATGGCAGACTTAATTAATTTGGTGCAGTTTACCTGTGAAAACAAAGTAATTCTTTTTGGGAACTAAGTCTTATGACCTTGCTTTCTTTGGTCTTTTTTTTTCTTTATTCATGGATTTTGACAAAAGGTTTATTCATAATGAAAATAAATTTTTCATAATAAATGCATAAAACAAAATACACATGTCTCCTTTAGAAGAGACTTGTCTGTAAATATTTGATTTTTTGCCTGTGGGGACTATTGCAAACTGTGTTTGACCCTGATGAATTGACCGTTCAGCATCCGAATGTTAATCAATTGCAATAAGTAATGTATGCATGAGGTAGACAGGTAACATTACCGTGATTTCGAGCTGTCATAAAAATAAGACGCAAACCACATTTTGACAGGAAGAACAGGTGAATTACGAGATGGCTTCCACAAATTTATATTTTCAACCTGGTACAGTATTTTTATTGGAAAATAATGTTTAACTGACTTTTGGGGGTCTGTCTTTCAGTCAGTAAACTTTACTTCACTGCAACAGGCTTTGATAGGTTCAATTAAGTTTAATAGATACGAATATTAATACAATGTACTTTAAAATGTATTTCTTCAAAAAAATTAAATATTGTTTTTTAATTTCATCTATTTTGAATAAGTGCATGGATATCACCTGCATAACCTTACATAAGTACAGGTTGCTTACATTATACACACTGCTTTTAAATAAATTGTAAACCATTGTTTACATTTAGTCATACATGTAAAAAGTGTTGAAATCTGGTTTACAATTTTTAAAAAGTTGAAATTGAACCATTTCCAGAGTTTACTTAGTAATGTATTCTGAGGGGTGGTAAATGGAACTTATTACAAGAACTAGGTGAGGGAAGAGATACATTGGCACCTATTGTTCCAGGAGAATAAATTTCCTTTTTTAGCTCACCTTGACAAAGTCGAGATGACCTTACCCTAAACCTCCAGTGTCAGCTTTGGTGTTCTTGTGAAATTTTTTGGAGGAAGTGTCATTTCCAAGTAACTATAAGTCCTACCTGGACCAAACTTGCAGGGATCTTGCATCATGAATATTTCCGGGATGAGTGAACAGGTTAAAGTTCTTTTAGAGCAAGTTCATTCCCAAGTTACTGTAAGCCCTGTCTGGATGAAATGTGTATGGATGATGCATCTCCGGATGCACACTACCACACTTGCTTAGAAAGCTGGATCTGACCTACATTTTCTGGATGAGTGATCAGATAAGGCTTTTGGAGCAGTTTCATTCTTAAGTCACAGTAAACCCTATCTGGACCAAACTTGCATAGATGATATATCTAAGGACACACATTACCAGGCTTGCTTTGAATGCTGGATCTGACCAATATTTTCTGGATGAGTGACCAGATCAAGCTCTTGGAACAGTTTCACATAAGAAAATAAGTCCTACCTGGACCAAACTTGCATGGATGATACATATAGGGATGCACACTACCAGACTTGCTTCAGATGCTGAATCTGACCTACATTTATTGAAGCAGGTTCACATATAAGTAACTATAAACCCTAGAGTAAGCAAACTTGTATCTAGGGATGCACATTTTAGACTTGCTTTGGATGCTGGATCTGATCTACATTTTCCAGGTGAATGGAACAGGTTAAATTTTCAGAGCTGGTCCATTCCTAGGTAACTATAATACATATGGTGACTGAACTTGCATCAATGATGCATGTTACTAGGTATACACACAGCAGGTTTAGAAGATGGATCTGACTTGCATTTATAGGGTGATTGAACAGAATTTTTTTTTTGGAGCAAATCCATTATCAAGTGTCTTTAGATCAAACCTGGACCACTATTGTAGAGATGTTTTAGCTAGGGATGCACACTAAAAGAACATTTGTTTGATCTAAAACCTTTCGATACATATAACATTCATTGAGGTGAGCTTTGTAATCTTTAGTTACCTTTGTTAGATCTTTATATAACATACTTTGATTACCTATGTTAAGTCTATATATAACATACAAGATTGAATCTTACAAAATATGTGGATTGAGAAGCTACACTGTACACTGATGTTAACATCCAGATTAATTTGGCGGCACTGTATATTTAAATTGAGATATCAAATTGGATTTCAATAAATTATAATTAAGAATTACACTTCATAAAAAAATATACTACATGATCAAAGACTTTGCTGTTACCAGCTGATTCTTTGTTTCTATAGTGATGACACAACATGGCTATACTGAGTCTACAAAAGTCACTATAATGTATTAACTGTCATAATAAATAAGTCAATAATTAATTACTCATTCAAAATGATGTCAATATTAAGAAGAAATATGAAAAATCGCAGCACTGTTTCGGGTCCTCCAAATTTAGAATTGAGTTGCTGATGGGTGTTGCCTAATGCACTCGCACAAGCATTCGTAACATGGAATGCATGATGGCACAAGCACCACACGTCCAATCGCATTGGCGCACATTTGATTGTCAAATCACCTGATCACTCGCTCGATCCTATCACATTATCTTACAACACTCTCTTTCATTGTACCACAGTTGCATATAGACGCAAAGTATATTGCAAGATTTAATGCGTTTGCATCGCACAATGGTCGCTTTAGATCATGCAAATTTTGTACCAATACTTTTTTAAATGCGATTATTTCGGCAACAGTTTACGATCCAAATCAAAATTTTTCGGTCACACAAATATTTTGTTGCTTCTGCTCGTGTGCCAATTGTGAAAGGGCCTTTACATATCATTATTTGTTCTGCCTCCCCCAAACTGTGGCTTTAAGCTGCTAAACTTTACTTATCAGTAGTTGTTTTACTGTTTCTGATTCTTCATATATGGGTTAATTATGAATCCATCTACCTTGTACACCCATACATTGTATAAAACCATGTACCTAAATGTGTTTTTAACATGCATTGTTTTAGACTCTCACAAGTAATTTTTTTTCACCAGTAGTTTTAACATTTAAGTACTGGTATCTTAAGTCTGCTGGATGATATATGGTATATTTCATCTGTAATGTATATTTTATCTTTGATGTCTTGGGGATATTTTTCAGAGTAAGGATTCTGAGAAATCTGAGGACACAACAGGAAGAAGACCTTGAGAACTTACAGGAGTCTCGGAACAAAGTCAGAGACATGGCCGAAAATCTGGCCACAAAGTACAGTGACTGTCAAGATAAGCAGGAGGAAATCCTCCAAAGGTAAACAGTCTCTGATTAGACTATAGCTCTACTGGAGGTCATAATCCAAAAGTAAGTAGTCTCTGATTAGTCTATAGCTCTACTAGAGGAGGTATCCAAAGGTAAGCAGTCTCTGTTTAGACTGTAGCTCTACTGGAGGTCATGATCCAAAAGTAAGTAGTCTCTGATTAGGTTGTTGTTCTTTGAGAGGTAAGCAGTCTCTGATAAGACTGTAGCTCTAGAAAAAAGATCAGTTTCTTAATATTTGACAAAATTCTTGTTAGCGAGATGGATTGATTTAAATTTCTGACAGGATTGAAGACATGATGAGACGGTTACAGGAGAGGATGCCATCAATGTCTGAGGCCGAGCGAGGAATGAAGAGAGAATTAGAGACAATGGAAGAACAACTAGAGGTTTATAAGAGATCTCTGGAACAGGTACAATACAACTCAGACTCTGCTGGGAGGGAGGGGGGGTTAAAAGGATTTCTCTGAGCAGCTGCTCATTTAATTTCAAATAGTTTATTTTATAAGTATAAACATCTGAAGATATCAATTATTTTTTTTTTGTAGCTGAAAATAAAACAGGACTACCAGAGAAGGCAGATAGCCCAGACACCTAACAGACTGCTTTCAAGTCCCATACTGAAACCTGGTCAACTCAAACAGATAAAGGATGTGTTGAAACAAGAGTAAGTCTCATTTTTCAAAGAGAGCTGATAAAAATAGCAACAAAACTCATTTTTGGAAAGCTGGTGGTTGAGGGGTAAGGGGGAGGGGTTCACAAAAAATTTTAATATTTCTTAAATATTGAGTTGGCCATGACTTAAAATGCATTTATTCAGGATAATTATTACTCCCTGTATTGTTATAATTGTTGATTATTTTTTATCATTTATTTTCATAAAATACATTGACAAAAATCCATTTTCACTGGTACCTTTAAACTTGATATGTTTATTGTTTCTTTAATATATTTTCAGGGGAGATGACTTGGGTGAAATGCTCCAAAAAGTAAATGCTTTAAAACTTGAAGCAGGAGTCTGATAGTTTTTACCTGAAACTGATTACTTTGGCAGCAACAATCTCAGAGGATAGCCAGAGGAGCAATATTTCTGTGAAATATTGCCAAATGGTGAAAATATTGACTAGTTTGTATAGAAAAGTAATTCCTCTTGCATTGTAAAATATGATTCGGACAAGAAACTGAAATGTTGACAAACAACAAGGTGTTCTAAAATAGGTCTATAGAGACCTACAACTGTTACTTGTGTTTATTACAAAAATAAATCTTGAAAAAATTGAGCTTTTTTGTATGTGTGAAGAACTTTCAACAGTGAAAATCTTTTAAATACTTTGTATTTACAACTCGGAAACATTATACAATTCTGATTTTTTTTTCTTCAAGGGTAGGGTTGGATTGTAATTCAGGTGCAAAATTTAACTTGAGAATATTGTGGAAAAAATCTTTCTCTCAATAACAATAGGCCATGAACAGCAGGATTAATATGCAAAGATCCTCAGGTTGTGTGGATTCAATTTCTTTTCTTTTTTTTCAAATCGTGACCCCTGGGGTAGGACTGGGCCACAATAGAGGATGAATAAAAAAGAGGCTCTAAAAAAATCTTTTGTTTCATAAAGAAAAGCATTGATATAATCATACTACCATAAAACGCAAGCACTTGGATGTGTATTGAATTGGGTACTAATTTGTTTATACTTTTTATTACAGTGCATAACTATACATGTACTAAGAGCATGACATCAGAAATGAAATACATGTACTAGTATTATAGTTAATCTTCCCCCATGAACACCCTTCATTTTTATTGTGTGTATTTAGTGGACGTATTGTTAAAGCACATAATATAATATTTTTATGCCTGGCCATTAATTTTTTTTTTTATTATTATTGAAACTTTCACACACATTACAAATAAATGTACAAACTTACATTAGAAAACAGAATCTGAATAGCAACTAATTTTAGTTGAAACTTATTCAAAATCAGTGTAAAATTTTATTTAAAAAGAGAGAGAGGCAAGCTCTAACCTTATATTTTGTGTCTTGAACATACTGTTAAGCTCAGATTCAGTGATATTTTTTGTATATATTCATATTGATGAGAGCTATTCAACTGCATCAACTTTTTTTTTTACCTTGGCCTTTCTTTTGACCTTGACCTGGCTTTTCTTAAATTTTTGTTTAGCACACTTTCAAAGAAATAATTCAAGATATTTTTATCAATCTTTATATGCTGATATAAATTAGTGAGAGCTATTCACCTGCAAAAAAAAGGAAATTATAAATTTTTTGTTTTTCTTTTTATTCCTGTATTTTCTCATCCTGTGAATATGTATGTTGAAATTTTTTTTTTCCAGCTGACCCATGCATAGCAAGGATTCAACCTATTCACCCATAGACAAAATGAACAACCAATCTATCTACATTACTGATATGCCTATACTATATTCATAATTTTTCCATAACTTTTATGTATATATAAATGTTTACCAAAGAAGGATGAAAGAGAGGATGCACATAGGAACAGATCCAACTTTTGGCCCCAGGATGGTCTAGTTTTTTGGTAATAGTCGTACGTGCAGGCTAGTACATTAGAAATGAATAAAGAGAAAAAGTGAAACATTCTAAAAGATTTAATTTTCTAGATTAGTCAGGCCTATAGAGTCCTTATTCTGTTTTTGGAAGGTTAAGCAGGAATTCAAAGCTTTCTGGATTTCTTCTTCTGGGAGAATTTTATAGTGTTGAATGCCAATCAGTAACTCCTGACGTGCATTGCCTGCAAAATTATTGGATAGAAAGGCTGGGAGTCCTCTGTATCCATCACCCATCGTAAACAGTGGAGGTCTCAATATACCCAATGTCTGAAAATAATAACAGAGACTAAATTAAAAATGTTTTTTCCCTTTGTTCATGTTGTTGCAGGGGATTTTTTATTTGGTCTTGATCAGAAAAGTAAGTTTTCATTTACATGTATACCACTTTCATCTAATTTTAAGTGAGAAACTTAAAGAATTGCTTTACACATACTTGGGATAAGACCACCACCCTCTCCCTTATACACACCAGTGACAGTTGCACAGTTTATAAACATTATTATACCCCCGCTCGGAAGGAGAGGGGGGTATACTGTTTTACCCTTGTGTGTGTGTCTGTCTGTCTGTCCATCTGTGTGTCTGTCTGTCCGAAACAAATTTTGGTCGCAGCTTTCTCAGCAACTACTCATCACAGGTGCTTGAAATTTTAGCACAATCTTTGTTTAGGCATGCCATATGGTGGGATTCATTTTTGTACGAATCCGATGTCAACTTCCTGTTTATCCGTGCGTCTGTCCGTAGCATACATGACAATTTTGGTCGTAGTTTTCTCAGCAACTACTCATTGCAGATGCTTGAAATTTTAACACAATCTTTGTTTAGGCATGCCATATAATGGGATTCATTTTTGGAACAAATCTGATGTCAACTTCCTGTTTATCCGTGCGTCTGTCCGAAACATACATAGCAAATTTTGGTCGTAGTTTTCTCAGCAACTACTTATCGCAGATGCTTGAAATTTTAGCACAATCTTTGTTTAGGCATGCCATATGTTGGGATTTAGTTTTTTCAAATCTGATGTCAATTTCCTAATTATCACTGTCTTTGTCTATAACCGAACTTGTGTATTCACATCAGAGCGGGAGTATTATTAGTGAGCATTAGCTCACAGATTTCTTTTTTTTTCTACAAAACATTGAAACTGTACCCATATGTAAAGCTTGGGGAAAAAATTGAAAATGGTCATTAGACTGATGCACAATATCAACAAAACCAGAATGCATGTGCCACTTGCTTTATAGCTTCATTCAAGATGTAAATAAATCTAAGAGTGGTCAGCTATTTATTTGCAACAAGCATTATAGTGCATGTACCTTTGCCTGCAGAGAAAAAAAAAACACCCAAGGGTAGTAAGACTGTGATAGAATTTGACAATCAAATAGAAATATGGCTCCCAACCATCAAAGCTGTAATGAATAATGATTGAAATTATTAAAAATAATTCGTTATCATTTTATTAATACATGTTTCCAACAATCCTCCAAAAGAAATTTCAGTCTGTCTTTACTGCAATTGTCAGTCTGCATGATTCATTCTTGAATACTGATCCTGATGTATTTTCATATAGTATTTAAATTTCAGTTTGTGCGGTAACTGTATATCAGATGCTTTCAAAGTACAGGTGTCATGAGCTCATAAAAAAACATGTGCTTATTATCAAAATAATGCCTCTCAAACCCGGAATAAAGTGAAGTTAAACCATCCAAGTATTTTTTGCAAAGTAGGTCAAAGGTCAAAATCAAGTGAACTGTAACACTGGTACATGTGTATTTTTCATAACGTTTTATGACTAATTAAACAGTGCATAAGCTAAATGACAAAAACTTACCTCTTAAATGTCAAATTGAAAAATATGCTGCATAGTTTTATAAATTTGCTGTTATTTTTCATTTTGTTTTATGACAAACAGTGCAAATGCTAAATGGCATAGACTTACTTCTTAAATGTCAAAAATACAGTCAAACCTCGTTATCTAGAACTCGATGGGACCAAGAAAAAACTTCGAGATATCCGATGGTTCGAGATACCGAGGGTAAAATTCTTAAAGAATTAATGGATTGAGACTTCCAAATCACTTCAACATATCCATGGTATTCAAGATATCAGTGTTCGAGATACCGAAGTTCAAGATATGCTTATTAATTATCAAAATAATGCCTAATGTGACAGCCAGACAGACAGAGGCCGGGTAAAGTGATCCCTAGTAGGCAACTTTTACTAATAAACCAGACCCACCTCTAGGTAGATTTTTAGATGATTCCCAGAATACTGCTGTGTGCAGTTTTATGTTCAAGATTTGTTGATTACAGTATTTTGATTATAGTATTTGATAAATACAATTTGATCTTCCTGAAGAACCTTTTAATCAGTCAAGTATTATAATTATATAATAACACACTAGAAAAATGCAAAATTCTATTTTCAGAAAAAAATCAGATATTGGATAGAATTTTGTACTGTAAAAGTAAGGACATCTTCAACTATACAGGGATAAAACTTCTTTCAGAACCAATTTTTTTTTCAAATGCTACCATTTACCCTTCTTTGATTACACTGCAACGTGCCTGTTGGGGAAGGGGGGGGGGGGGGCTAAACCCATATCCCCTAATGTTCAATGCCTATATTATGTCTATCTTTGCAAAAAAAGTGGGAAGGCTAAGCCCCCCACCCCCAGTTCTGATGCCTATGATTTGGGTACATGTATATTGAGTTTGTTTACTATTCATTAAGGTTAGCAGCATTATTCTGAAAAAAAAAGTTTTCATTTCTTTTCTGTAAGTGAAGCCAAGGCATTCTGATATTGACTGTAAGTGCATTTTACAAGTGCTTCTAGCAGATGTTCCCCAGGATCAACTAAACCACCTGGAAATCCTATCAAGCCATTAAAATAAAGTTAAAGGAGTGTTGTTGGTGCAAAGATGCCCTATATCACCATTTTACATGCAAGTGCCTCTGACTGCTTAACTGATGACAGTTCTTGGACAGGAAGTTCAAGGTTACTATGTTGCAGCATGACCACTCAACTTCAATGTTTAATTCGACTTCATCATCAAAGATACTCAATGGTACTTCAAGAAGACTAATGTCTGGCAGAATATTTCTTTCACTCAAATCAAGAGAATAGAGAATGGTGAATTCAATGCATTGTAGGAACTGAGTTGCAACTGAAGTACATGATTGACTTACTTGCTTTAATAAATGGCCTGGGGGAATAACGTTACCTTTTAAAGTTATGTGATATATTGCAGTTTTTTAACTAAATGTCTGATCTTTTCTGATCTTTTTAATAGTAAAAAATATTCTAATATTTGTAGTGAATTGCTTGTTGCATTTCTTTTGCATATCGGTATATACTGTAATATTTCCTTACCTCAGCTCCATAATCAGGGGCCTTCAGATTCTCCAATTCAATTTCTTGAAATTGTGGCAGAGTGACCTCCTTCCCATAAAAGTGTAGCACAAGATTTTTGCCCTTGTTCACAAAGGAAATAACATGATCACTATCTGACAGTTTAAACTTGTTAGTGTCCAGACCAATTTCTTCCTCAAGTTCACGGTTTGCTGCTTGGAGTGGATGTTCCCCAGGATCAACTAGACCACCTGGAAATCCTAGCAAGCCATCAAACCTCATCTGCATCTGAAAGATATAACTTAATTATGAATTACTTATTACTTATGAAAATCTTTACTAGTCTATTTTTTGTCAACGTCATATGATAGGATGGGAAAATTTTAGTTGCAACAAGAGTGTCCCAAATAAGAACCTTTGCTTGCCCTGTCAATGCTCATGATATATAATTATGGATGTTATGGGATCTTTGGTAAGGCCCAACCTCTGTCTCTTTCCCCCTTTCCCAGCCATCAGGAATCGAAATTAGCAAGAAATACGTGCAAAATCATATTAAATGCGAGTTGATTTTTAAAAAAGCAAGTAAAAATAGTTAAGACACTAGAAATTTTTAGCGAGTGGTGATTTTCAACCTTGATTGTCTCGTATACATAATTTGTCTTTTGCTTTTTTGAAACTTTAAAAGGGTCACGCAAACACTTAGATAACATGCTGATTAAAGCAGTCGTTTTTATCCATCTTTTTCTATTTTATTTATTTGAAAATCAGAATCAAACAAATGCTTTAAAGGTCACAGAAACAAGATGATTACCAGGGTTGGCTGGGAAGTACCAGTGGTGGGAATTACCAGTGGTAAATACCGGTATTTCCCGTCCTGGGAAATACTACAAATTTTCTCTAAACTGGGAAATATTGAGAAATACTGGGAAATACAAAGTTAAAGTTTTTTTATTTTTTTAATTCATTCAATCTTATACAAAATTCAAAAATAAAAGAAACATAAAAACAGAAGAAGAATATGGAATATGTCTCATATTGCAATCTACAGCTGTAGCATATTCTGAATGTATCACTACTCCAGGTCCCATACCCATAAGCATACTGATACATTTCCCCGACTGTATAAAACTGAAGTTTTCCAATTCAAGTTATTTTTCAGTTTTGTAAAATTATTAAGTTTATTAATTATAAATCCAAGAACAAAAAAATTGTCTTAATCCTTCTATAAACACTGCAGTTATTACAATCAATCATGTTGTTTCAACAAATTTGCTCTTGACAGTTTTGTGCTCCTGTTTTGAGAGATAATTACTTTGAGTAGAACTGAAAGGCTTCTTCTTAGCTTTGATATTTATACCATACTCTACATTTTAGAATTTTCTTAGATCCTTCTTTAGTTACATACCCAATTGGGATCTTTGGGTTCATTTCATGGACCTTTATAGACTACATCTGACTCAAGCATGAAACAAATGACACTCATGACTGGTATAATATGAGTATGCTGTTTTATGATTGTATAAAATGAATTACTTGGAAACCAGAACTTTTTTATAAATCAAGGACAGTGATACCAGGAAGGTATCTTAGCCAGAAAGGTATACTACATGTCAGTATGAATGAAATATGTAGCTTTTTCTTATTTCCCAGTATTTCCCAGGAAATACCAGTAATTCCCGGTAATTACCAGTATTTCCCACCGTCCTGGGAAATATGAGTATTTCCCAGTTTTTTGCCAACCCTGAATTGATTACCAATTTTTTTTAAACGTAAAAACATTGATGATCCACAACCAGATCATAATTCTGTACTGACCCACTATAGTAGACCCAGTATTGTTATTGATTAAAATAAAGCATAAAAAAAAGGCATTTAATTCTGTTGATTCCTTACTTTATGCAAGTTCTTAATATTGGGAAATGGCTCTTTGCTGCCAAATCGCAATAATAATAATTTGTAAGTGGCCAGTTAATCAGGAGATTTTACATGGAAATCAAAGCGAGTAATTTTATTTCGCGAGTGGTGCTTCTTAAATTTAAGCGATAATTCTCAAATATTGTCTTTCAAATGATTATGTATATTTATGTGTATTTGTTTTATGTATGATGACATATGATACCAAATAAATGATGATGATAATTAATTCCTCGCACATATTTAGGAATTTACAGTATTCTTTCAATTTTAACTTGTAGATCTTCATTTTAGCTTGTCATTTTTATATGTACATGCATAAATTAGCCTATGGTTAAAAAAGTAAATTTCGATCCCTGGCCCACAGGTACTTGGGTATTGGTTTATAAATATGTATGTACCTTATTGATATGTAAAAAAAAGTACTTTTTTTACATATCAATAAGGTACATACATATTTATAAACCAAGACCCAAGTACCTGTGCCCTGGCCATGTTGGAAGAATGTGTGACAAGCTTACCAGCACCGCAGCCCTGCTGTTGTATAAATCCCACAATATGGCGTCATTCCTGGCAAAAAGCATGGAATGTGACGCATGTCGGAAAGAAGAATATTTGTCAGACAAGGCATCCTTGTATGATACAATGTCGAAATCCTCTTTCTTGTCACCAGCTCGGCCATACGCTTCGTAGGCTTGCAACTTTCCCCATCCAATGTCAGTCATTTGTACACTTGAAATAAAATTCTTGACTTTAACAGTTTAATGACAGATCAAAATATCACCTTCTTTATGGAGTACTTATTCCACTTATCTTTCTTAAATCAACTTTTATTTTTATAGAAAAAAAATTGACGTCTACATACAATGCCACATATGAAAAAAGATGTTTTGATTTCCGATTTGTTGTTGCTAGTTCAAATCGGAAGCATAAAAGATCAACATAAAATCGGAACCGTTACTGGTCGGCGGATATATTTCTGAAATGCCTCTTTTGGTAATACTGACTGTTCAGCCTTCAGAGAAGCAGAGACGTACATTAGTATATATCTATATATATATATAGGTCCCTGAGTGACGCTAGTAAGTTGATAATTTGTTAAATTAATAAGAAATAGATTCAATGAACTTCCCCCTCTAACACTTCAGAGCGCCGGGGAGGGAAGGGCGGGGGGGGGGGGGTTGTTTATCATGGTTTATTGGGTTGTCATATGTACAGACAGGTCTTTCATTTCCAGGTTCTGAAAAAATGATTTAAATGTACCGGTTGAAATTGCTTTTCTTTAAATGACAACATCATAACAAATAACTGCATATAAAATTAACTAATTTAACAAATAAATATTCAATTTTTTTTTAAAAATCAAGACTTCCTTAAAGGGGCATTGACACATATTTTAAGTTAATATTTTCTCAAATTTCTATGTCATATCATGACCTATTTGTTGCTATAGCATTTCACACAGAAATATAATAACAGCGTGTTCAGAAACTTTTTTATCTGGAAATTATTGAAAGTACGAATTTCGGGATGCGATTGATTGACAAATCCTTGCACTTTCACAAAGTAAACCTTATCCTTAATACTCTAAGAAAAGTAGAAATTTTGCTGTGTATTAATGAACAATATTAAAACTATAATCCAGAAAAAAATATCAAAACTATAATTCAGAAAATTCAGAGTAGAAATGTGAGAAAGCAAAACCAACTCACCAGTATTGTCAGTCCGTACTCAGTGATGTGTGCATAAATTGTGCACAAATTGAACACACCCTGTGAAACGTAAACATTAACTATAACAGTGGTGCCCTGTTTACAAAAACAGATGTTTGTCAATTGACGTGATGTAAAGAAGAATGTCGGTGTCATTGAATTCTAAGAATATTCATGTAAGTTCAATTCATTTAACTGGTTTTATTTTTTGGATAAGCATAGAACTTTAAAATGTAAACAATGCAATGTGTCCAGGCCCCTTTAACTTTCTACCCCTTTAACTTGAAATCATGGATCCACTCCCTAGAGACATCATAGAAAGAGATAATCTACGGTAAGCAAGAGGGCTATTATCTTCAACATGGACCATGTAAGAGCATGTTGGAATTTGCAGACATTATTGTTGCTTTGTACTTTTACGCCAGGTAATTTATATTCCATTATTGATATATGTATTTGGAATGATAATTAACATCTCAAAATTTATTAGATCTAAATAAATGTCAATGTATTACATGCTTTAACCAATTAGTTATGACATAGTTCTAAATTTATCCTATGTATCAACATGAACATTAAGATTTTTATCTCGATTTAATGAAATATATATTCTATTATATCAATAATGTAATTATGAAAAAAAGTTTTAAAATTCGGAAAGAAAAGCAAGTGTGAGCCACTATATACATACAGACACAGATCTTATTTGTTGTCTAATTTTATCAATACAGGCTTTTGTAACATGTTTTGATTTACTCAGCAACACATGTATTTTATGTAGAGCTATTTCCCGTTAATTTAAGCAAACACCCTTAAGATAAGTAAAGTGCCTTATTGTGGACAGTTGATAATTCAGTGGAGATATGTTTGTACACGAGATAGAGTACTTACCAATTACCGTGTTGGAATCACATGGTGCATTTGTCTATCCTCTTGTAGTCAAAAAAAAAGTTCCCTCTCATTCCAAGGTCAGTGTCTTTGATGGTCACTCTTTTCAAGGTCAATGTCTGTGAGCCTCTCATTTCAAGGTGGGTGTCTTTGACGGCCCCTCATTCCAAGGTCAGTGTCTGTGACTGCCCCTCATTCCAAGATCTGTGTCTGTGACTACATTTTGAAGCACTGACTGTCCTGCAAGGACCCTACATTTGGTAGACAATGGGTGGAATATGTTTGTTAAATGAGTACCTCGGATCACTAACGACAGGTGCAGAAGATTCGGGGAGGCCGGGTGTCCTGCAAGGACCCTGCAACACTTTTTTGACTATGGATGGCGGAGTTAGCTGTTGATCAAATTCAAGTGCCTGAGACCCCCTGCGATAGGGATCGAAGATTCGGGGGAAGGGATTGAATGACTGAATCTTCTCTTATGCTACATGTACCATAAATCGCCTGCAAATCCCCCATCTTCTTCTGAGGTTATCCAAAGTCACATATGGACTGGTGACAATATTAAGTGTGATGTCCGTTTGCAATGAAAATTTGGTTAGATTCTGCAATCAACATCCGGATAATGATAAAGATTACTGTTGTATAAATGTATCATTAACCGTTCATTGTAGTGTTCATTGTAGTGTCAACATATTATGATATACATGCGCGGATCTAGTGGGGGAGGGGGGTCCGCCCCCCCCCCCCCCCGCCTGGAATTTACAAAATTATTAAAAGTATATAAAAGTATATACTAAAGCATATTAGCATGACAGAAAACGTGTACACCACCACCACCACCACCAAGAAATAGGTCTTTTTCATTTTGAGGGGAAATGGATTTTACGTTTGTTAGTTTTTTTTTTTATTTGCTTGTCAAGAAATTTTCTGGATTTGATACATTTGGGAAATGTTTTTTTTTTTTTTTTTTTTTTTGCTTGTAAAGAAATTTCTTGGTTGGAAATTGTTGACTGGGGTGGACCCCCCTTCTCCTAGAAAAAAAATCTTGCATGGATCCACGCCTGATATATTATCATCCGGTAAAAAAGAAATTGAACAACTTGACTTTATATTCGATAGTCTGATTTATTCAAGATGAAAATTTAAGTTTACATTTTGCACTATCTACACGCAGGCCCTTAGGAAGCAGTTACAGGTTCGGGGGGGGGGGGGGGGGGAGGCACAACCAAAGAGTTTTAGTTGGGGGTGACATGTACCAAACATGAATTCCTTGACAAGCAAAAAAAGTCATCAGACGTTATTACTGAGAGAGGCAAGCATAAAGTAGCCACATGTATGTTTTCTATGCATAGCTGGTATACTATATCGGCAAAATTATTGGGGGCACACCCCCTCCCCACCACACCACCTCCCCGGTTCCTACGACCATGGCACGTATTATGTGGATGAAGATACATTCTTCACTTCATTCCCCAGCACTGCATGTTTCTTTATCAAAAATACTCTGTATTATCAAACATCTTCTATTTTTGCTAAGTTTTATGCGGTCTATGGAGCCAATCCAATTGCCAACAAGGTCGAGAGACCATTGTTCATCTCTTTGAATGGAAATGGAACGACGTGGCTACCGAATGTGAACGCATTCTGGCACCAGCTGGGTTCTGTGGTGTACAGGTAAATGATCTACAAGTTCATTGTGTATATACATATTGATCATTCTTTCAATTTGATTATTAAGTACCATAGATATATAAGGTGGAAATTTTTAGTGCATTTATGTAATGTAATATTTTTTTGAGTATCATTTCATAAAACCATGACAGTAAGGACCATGAAAGGGGAAACCGTAACCCACCTACCCCCAACCCAATTATTTTTGCCAACGCCATACCATGTGCCGAAAAGATCGACAATATCTTAATTTATAAGTATACCATCTGCTCTATTAGTATAGTGTGATATAACCCCCCCCCCCCTTCACACACAGAGAGAGGTTTTGACAATTATAGCAAAACATATTTTGGATTTTGTCAGGTATCAACAGTGGAAGATGTACTTAATTAGCCTCTCCTCTGGTTCGACCTTGTATAATACCCTTCCATCTCAACAGTGCACCCTTCCCACAATATCAACCCGGGAGCCCCACTATGAAATATAGGCGTCGGAACCGGGGGGGGGGACTTAAACCCTGCCACCCACCCCCACTTTCCACTATTTTTGCAAAGATATAGACATAATATATGCAATGAAAATTGAGGCTTGTGTGTGTGCTCGACGTAGAAAATTTTTTGTTGGTTTAGCCCCCCCCCCCCTCCCCTTTTTTTTCAATTTGCTTCCGACGCTTATGCGATATAAAGTTTTTTTTGCGCCTGAATAAAATACCATCAATTATTTCTACAGCAATACTTACTGATCGACCGAACCTTACATGTACTTATATGTAGTATCGATCTGATTTTTCAGATCTCTCCTCCTCATGAAAATAGAATTGTCAAACTTCCTCTCCGACCCTGGTTTGAGCGTTACCAGCCCGTCTCCTATAAACTGGTGACAAGAAGTGGCAATGAACAAGAATTCACAGACATGGTAGAGCGGTGCAACAAAGTTGGCGTCAGGTGTGGTGAGATAGTCATTCCAAATTATTTATACATTATCTATGAATAAGTTAAGGCACATGTCTTTATTATTCATTTTTCATAGTTTTCTTATATATATAACTCCTTACATGTTGAAAGTAATAACTGACCTTGGTATTCAAACATTAAAAATCACCAATCATTTTCCCAATTTCAAGGTCAAGGGCGAATGCCACTGCGGTATTGAAAAAAAAATGCCATTCTTACTTACTTTAGTTTAAAAACATCATACATTGTAAACATTACTGATTATCTACATACCAGAGATAAATGTGTAATTTATAAATGATTAGGTCAAGGCTAAGGCAAACTCGAAAGATGGTACACATATTCGCGAAAGTTACGCTTTATAACGCGAATTTTTTAACCTACGAAAATGAGCTTAATGGGCTTTCGTACCCATGCATACAAATCAATGTGGGTTTTTTTTAGCCCATGTGTTGCTTATATTGCCCCCCCCCCTACATATTTCTTTATCATGGAGTTAAGAGACAAACTAATATTGATATTTATTTTCTGTAAGGTTATTCCTAAACACTGTTTATTTTCAATTACTCCCTATGTGTGTCATTCTTTTAGGGACATAAAAACTACATGTAGGTCCCTGATTCTATAATGCTTAACAGTAATTACAAATATATTTATTATCTTTTCAAAACATTTAGTTCATTATCACTTACATGTATCTATTCATTCATTTTTTGTAACTATAAAAAAAGATTCATATGAGAGAACAGGTTTCTGAAGAGTACACTCCCATAATGGGGCAAATTAATCCCTCGTCATAAAACTTCTCCCAGTTTGTTTCAATCTAGGATATTTAATCCAATATACATATAAAGCCATACGTTTTGATGCTCCTGACGTTTGAAAACTTGGTGATTTGATATTTTCTAAAAGTTGAATATGCTGTAGCACAGTACGTCTGAAATTTCTCCTTTAAAGCAGTTAATATTTAGATGGGGGGGGGGGGGGAGCATTTAATTGCTGCATGGACAATGTATCTCTGTTTTTAAGGATTTTTATGAGGTTTATGAATCCAAATATAAGATCCAAGTCACCTGCGTTATATAGAATGCTAAAACTATCAACGACTAAAATGTGGTTTTGAAGAATTTCATCCTTAGAAAGTTACATATGTAGCTGTGAGTAGAATTTGGATTTCCAGTTGTAGAATTGAAAACAAGTTCCACTAAAATAGTTACACACCTATAGCAACAGTCACCAACTTTTTAGGTATTAACTTCATTCCAATTAGAGTGTTTATGGCCGAAAAAAAATTAAAAGAATACTAGCTTCTTTTTTTTTGTCTGAGGTGAGAAAATGATGATCAGAATGGGTCATTCTCATTAGATTTTTTTTAACAGCACCCTGTGATCCGAACCCTTGATTTTACAATGCTGACATAAGGCTTATCGTTTATAATAAACTTAACAGATTCCAAGGAATATGTAACAGGACTTAAAATTATTGCATTTTCAGTTTACGATAAATTTACCCATGGTTTTCAGGACCGAGGGTCGTGATATTTTTTTCTCGTCATCAAGAATACATGTACAAAAACATGTATGTGTCGTTTGTCTACAAGTACAACATGTCCTGGAGTTAAAGATTCTCAAAGAGCGCATTAATTAAGAAAGTTTTTTTTATCACACAGTTTGGGGGTATTGGAGACCTTGATATTCCTAACTTTTAATCCGTATTTCCAAAAGTGCCTAAAATTTGTTCAGCACTTTCGATTTGAATGGCGTACGATAGACAAACACAGATCGCAATAGGACATAAAAGTGACAGAGATGACCCACCTTTCAATTACAACATTTTTAAGAATACGAGTATACTTAAATAAAATACTAATAAAATATAGTGTATTGATTTCAGGATATACGCAGACGTTACTCTTAATCACATGGCGCAGGCAGGCTCCAGTGGACTTGGTACAGCTGGGTCTTATTACTCCGACCCTTTATATCCTGACGTCCAGTTCTCCGAATCAAATTTTAATAACGCACAAAACTGTTCATCCAAGGACCTTACAGTACACAACTACACAAACAAAGTAGAAGTTCGAAATTGCAGACTGCAAGCACTAAACGATTTGAAAATATTTTCCAGTCACATTCAAGAAACCCAATTAAAGTTCCTAAACAAGCTAACAGACATTGGAGTGGCAGGTTTTCGGATCGATGCTGCTAAACACATGTGGCCTTCCGAACTTGAACGGTTATATGTCAAGCTACACCATCTGAGTACAAAATATTTTCCTTTTGACACGCGACCTTTTATCCTTCACGAAGATTTGGTAATCGACACTGTTGGACTGTCCAGTGATATTCCTGAATATACCAAATTGGCCAAGGTCACTAACTATGATTATGGATACTTTCTCGCAAGGGTATTTCTGTTAGTATCAAATCTAATTTGAATTCATGTTTCACTTATATTTAAATTGTGGGAATTAGTAGTGAACACACTTGGAATATTTTAATGTAGATCTCTAGATCTGGTTCACATAAAAACGGAATTAAATTTTGAATCATTAATTCATTTTACATTGATTTACTTTAAGAAATCCAGTTTGAAAAAAATAAACAACTCTATAAACATGGCAATTTGAAAGGGGCTATATTTTGTGTTTACTGACCTAAATAAATGATAAACTTCCATAATTTGGAATTTAGCTTTTTGACAGTCGAAAATAAACTGAAAATACTGAATACCTCAGAATCAGGACTACCTTTAAAGTTTGAAATATAATAGTATATCCATGAAGGAAGTACTAAAACTTTGGAAAACATTAAAAGAAATTGTTGCAGAGTCAGGTATTCATTTCTATGCTCCCCTTGGAAAAAGAGCCTGTCGTTCGGTCGGTAGAGTGTTGTCCGCTCTATATCTTAAGAATTACCCTTTGCTTGACTGACATCAAACTTGGGACACTGGTACCCTCTGAAGAGTAGATGACCTATCAATTTTGAGGTCACAAGGATCAAACAGAACATAGGAAAATATAGATCGCACAATATCTTGAGAACCCTTCACTAGACACACATCAAACTTGATACACTAGTTTCCATTGAGAAGTAGAGGACCACTTAGATATTGAGGTCACTAGATTAAAGGTCAAACTGGACTTAAGAATATATTGACAGTTCAATAAATTGAGAACCCTTTGCTTGACATATATCAACCTTGGTACACGTTTTTCTTAAGGAGAACATGACCCCAGCCCTATTGCTTATGAGGTCACAAGATCAAGGGTCAACTGAACATAGTAAAATATTGACCACTCGATATCAATAGTAAAATATTGACCACTCCATATCTTGTTAACCCTTTGCTTGGCAGACATCAAAGTTAGAAACACTGGTTTCCATTGAGGAGTAGATGAACACTTTAGATTTTGAGATACTAGGACAAAAATCAACGGACAAACTGGACAGAGCAATATATTGATCATTCATGATCAATATCTTGAGAACTCTTTGCTTGACACAAATTAAACTTATTACAGTGGTTCTCCTTAAGCAGTAGATGACCCTATTGTTTGCTTGCCGAGGTCACAATGGCCAAAAGTTAAACTGAACACAGGAAGATATTGACCACTCCATATGTGGGGAACCCTTTGCTTGACAGACATCTAACTTGGAAAACTGGTCTCCCCTAAGGAGTAGCTAGCTACTGTAGATTTTGAGGTCACAAGGTCAGAAGTCAAACTTCTCTAAATATAGGGAGATATTGTTTTCTCAATATTTTGAAAACGCTTTGCTTGGAAGACATTAAAATTTTTACATTAGTTTCCCTTAGTGAGATGACCCTTATTGATTTTGAGGTTACAAGATCTAAGGTCAAAGGTCACATATAGGAAGACATTGACCACTCAATATTTTAGAACACTTTGCTTGACAGACATCAAACTTGGTACATTGGTTCTTTTTCAAGAGACGACCCCTTTTGATTTTGCGGTCACAGGCGTAAGGGTCAAACAACATAGACAAAAGACATGGGAAGATATTGTCAGCTCAGTTTTTGGAGAACTCAACCATTTGCTTTACATACATCAATTTTTATACTCTGGTACCATTTAAATAGTATATTATCTCTTAATTATACTGAGGTCTGATAGACATCAAACTTAGTAGTTTGTTTGCTTCTGACTTGAAGATTGCCATTTATTTTCATATAATTATACACATTCTAAATTAATTGTTCCGTTTTTCAAATTGCCAGGAGGGGGGCTTATATGTTTCTCAAACATTTCTTGTTTATTTCTGAAGTGAGGAATGCAATAAATAATATTATTATTTGATTGAATAATTTCCATCTCTCTGATTGGCTGAGATCCAACAATGTTAGAAAAATACTACGTTATATTGACCTGCACGTGACCTTCCAGGTCAATATAAGGAATTATTTCCAGGTCAATATAAGAAATTATTTAATCTACATTGGACCAAAAATAGATAATTATATAATAAAACAGTTATTGCTGTTTTTTGAGGTCAATACGATGATTTAGACACCTTCGAAGTACAATATTCACCTCGCCCTTCGAGCTCGGTGAATATTGTACTCCTCGGATGTCTAAATCATCGTATTGACCTAAAAAAAAACCCAGCAATAATTGTATAATATATGATAAAACATCACAACTATTCTTAAATGCAGAGGTCACACAGAAAATCTGAGAATACTGACAGATTTAGAATTAAGACACGGGTGGCCAGCATCTGATGACGTCATGGTTTTCATTGATGACAGTGCGAGTCAACGTGGTTATGGAACAGGTTAATGTCTGTCAATATCTTCAATATTTTTGCACAAATAAGCTCTTAATAAAAGGATTTTTAAGGTTAAGTTGGTAGAGCTAATGCCTTAATATGTTTAATTTCTACGCCGAACTTCACGAATCCACTCAACTTTAATACACTGTAGTTTGTGCAGTGAGCATCTCTCGTCTTTTGGATGAGAGACATTTCTGCAGTTTTTGAATGTACTTTAAGTTTGTGTTTTTACTTGTTTTTAACAACTTCTTTTGCAGCAAAAGTTTTGTCCAATTTTGATAATCCCCGTTTGTATAAGATGGCAAACGTGTTCATGCTTGCACATCCGTATGGATTGGCAAGAGTAATGAGCAGTTACTATTGGCCGAAGACAATGGTCGACGGTAGGGACGTTTACTCTTGGATGGGCCCACCAGCAGATTCTAATATGACCACACTGGGGGTCTTCTACAACAACAACATAAATTGTCAAAATGGATGGGTAAGTAGAAAGTCTTAGATTGAAAAAAAAAACAACATTTTTTTACTTTAAGATTATCTGACACCAACACTGTGCTGAATCGTCAGTTATGAGTAATTTCTGTAAGTTCTTTCCAGATCTGTGAACATCGTTGGAGACCAATAAAGAACATGGTAGGTTTCCGAAATACCGTGGGTCGTGCCAGAATATCGAACTGGTGGAGTAACAATCAAAGACAGTTTGCCTTCGCCAGACAAGGCAGGGGATTCGTCGTCATGAACGCCGGAAATTCCGAGTTATCTGTCAAGTTGCTCACTGCTTTACCAAGTGGAACATATTGTGACATCATATCCGGTGATTTTGCGAATGATAAGTGTACTGGAAAGATAGTAACAGTAAATAACCTTGGACAAGCCAATTTCATTATACATTCTCGAGAACAGGAACCGATGATTGCAATACATGTTGGTAAGAATAATCTACAATAAGTAAATTACCGGATATAAGACAAAATTTTAATTAATCTATTTACTTAGAAATATTGTTCGAAGAAAAATAGCTTTATGTTACGATTAGATTAACTTTTTGAGAGTTTAGGGCTCAGAGTAACATTTTACCTTCTTTACAGATGCAAGGTTAGGAAGCTCTAGAGGACAAACCTCCAGCAAGAATGGTTTATTCCCGGGAATCCTCGGGAAGAGACGTTGATATCAGGCGTATGATGTTTTTTAATTATATGATACTGAACACTTCTGATGTTTTTCCTTAAGCTCCTTTTAACTGCTTAATCATCTTTTAAAAAAAGTGCCAGCATTGTGATGTATCTTGACCGTAAAAAGGTTGTAGATTTTTCCATAGACGCATGTTTCTGTAATATTTTTTAACCCATAGTATAATAATAACTCCGAACTACATGGAGTACCCCCCCCCCCCCCTCCCAAGAATCGCAGTCATTTACACTTTCAGACTGGCAAAATTGTTCATTTTCATTCTCTTTCAAGATTATTTATCTACACAACCATATGACATCTCTGGCAGAATATGTGCTTGGATTTTGATTGGTTGAAATATCGTAATGTGTTAATGGAAAATAAAACGTAAGCAAATTTAATTCATTCACTGCAATATTTAAACATTGGAATTACATTTTTAAACCTATTAATTTCGCTCTCTATCCGAGATGAGTACATACCACGTCATGGTGTGAGACGAATTTTCCAATCGGCAAGCGGAGTTTGACCCTGTTTATGGAGATAAAAGAAAATAAAGACAAGAATGTCATATATGGTTGTGTAGATGAATTATCGTAGAAGAGAATGGTAATAAAAAGATTGACAATGCGTTTTCTGTGAAAGTGTAAATGACTGCGATTCTGGGGAGAGGGGTACGCCATGTACATTGTAATTCAGAGTTTTTATTATCATATTACGGCCGATTAAAAAAAAATTTACAGAAACAATTGTTATCTACCCCCCCCCCCCCCATCAATAGTTAGTGTTAATGTTACATGTAAATGAAAATATATAAAATTATACCGTATGTATGTCTATCATTCACTTTTCACCTTACAATTGTTGATTTAAAAAAAATCATAAGAATTTAAAAACATGTTTACTACATGTACATAGATTCCAGTTGTGTTAATATACATAAACTACATGTATTTTCAAAATTTCAGACTTTTGTTGTTTGCTTTTTTCAGTAACGTTTAATCTGTTCTGCTAAGTATGAAATATTAATGAATGTATTATTTCTTCAAGTTTTCAACTATTTGTCGTAATAAATAATGAAGAAATTAAAGTATGTGATGTCTATGTGTGTGTGTGTCCAAATAGTAGTGGTGGCTTTTGACACATGGTGAACTATCTGACGCAACTATCAGATCAAAGAAGATTATTCCTGCATAATGTACATGCCTATTCGTTGTCAATTCCCATAGTGATATCGTATACGAATGCTGTTTAGGGGGATTCTCGTAGGTTTATATTCATTTTATTCATGCTCTCATGAAAGTCTCGAATTCAATGGACAGTTATTAATTTACATGTATACATGTTGAAAACATTTTCAACATTTGCACGAATTCAGATACAAGTAGCTCAATTAATTTTGTGCTTAAGAAAGATAAGCGAAAATATACATCCAAATATGATGATTTAATTTAAAAATACTTGCATGTAGTAATGTAGGCCAACGTCTTGAAACCACTGGTGCTTGGGGACGGAACCCCCCTCCCCTCGTGTTTCGTACCCCAAGGGTTCTTTGACTTTTTAAAAATGAAATATTTTTCTACCACACATTCACAAAGTATTACAACTGAATAATCCAAAATATAACCTAAAACTAGCCTTTTATAAAAATTCACACCCTCTGATACTAAAAGTTCCCAGTTAGGTTATATTTGAAAATATGGCCAATATAACGACCATAGAATTTACGAAATGCTGACTATAAACGAGGTTTTGAAATCTCTGTAACATCAACTTACCTGTCAGTAGCCTGTCTCGGTTTAAAAATTGATCGTGGGTATCGAATAAGACGGGAGACATAAACACGTGCACCATATGCAGGTAATAGCGGAATATCACTACATAGAAAAGGAAAGTTGACGACAGAAAAGTGAAATCACCTCGTTTGTCATATAATTTAGTTGTTAGTTGGCCCCTACCGTCTACAGTCAGTAAAACATCCAAATATGAAATAGATGTGGCAGACTCTGAGGTGTCTTTAATTTCAAGTTCACTGGAATACATAGAGTCGACATATGAATGAAAGTAACTATTGTAAATTGATAATACGTCATCCATATATCTAGTTGAAGGCCACAACAAGTATTTTCGTCTTCTCAGGTAGAGGTTTTTGAATAAATTCTTCTTCATATGAATACAAATTGGTACCCATGGAATTCCAACAGATTGTTGGAAGACATGGTCTCCAAAAACCACATAGATACCGTCAATCAGAAACTCAAGCATCTTTTAAATATCAGAGTACTTGTGTGTACTATCAGAATGTTTTTTCAATAAAATAATTTTGCAAATGACAAATAACAAGGTAATTAAATTTACGAATTCCATTTTTATTGAAAAAGCAACTGTCAATGATGTCTAAAAGCCTGGGCTTTAATTTATCGTGCGGAATGGTTGTATATAGAGTTGAAAAGTCGTAAGTTTTGATTTTCCAAAAGTTCCTTGTAATTTTTAAGTATCAACATCTGATTTACACCACTTCTCAAATATATTATTGCACAGTACTCTTGAGGTTTCTCCTTCCCTAATATTTTAGTGAGGAGTCAAGAAAGAGACTTGGAAGAACATTTACTGGAACCCGCTAATCGTTAAATATCGTTAAATAAAATGACTTTAGATAATGATATAAATCTGGAAAATTTTAGCTAAAAGTTAGAGTTAAAATAAGAAATAAAAATAAAATTTTGGAATAAATTTGGATAAACAAGAAATTGGGGAAAAAAAAAACATTTAAAAATTGTGGCACTGTTATCTCTGCACAATTTCATTCCATTATCAAAATTCGACAAACTTGTAGATTTTACTTTTGAAGACTTGTGAATTGCGCGGTTGTATGTATAGATACCGAAAAACATGATTGGTAACTTGCAACATATTCAAACTAAATATCTTGTTTTATACATGTAGACAAAATATACAAATTTGATATCAAGAACTTCCTGATATCATGACGACGGTCAAAATAAGAGTAAATTTTGAGGTACCAATGCTGGAGAAGCAGACATCAACATCAACAAAAAAACCCTCAAAAGTCAATCCAGTTGTATGTTTGAAACTACGAGGGTTGTCTCAGAAAAACGCGAACATTTTTAAAATCTTTTGTTTCACTAATACATGTACTATAAAGTTAAAAACTGGCATACACCATAATCATCATATTTTGAATAACGCATAAACATATCTATTAAATATCTCTATAAATAACATTCTCCCTCAGGTAAACGAATCTCTCAAAAATGCTGTCGGCGCAACACCGACGACGTCAAAACATAGCTCGTTTTTGTTTGTTTGTTTTTTAACGTCCCTCTCGAGAATTTTTACTTATGAGTACTCCAGATCATTGAGTTTAAATGGAAGTATTTTTTTTTCATATTGTATTTCCGTATAGCCTGGTAAATAAAGAAAACATCACTAATAATGCCATTTCTAAAACTCAAAAAATGCCGTGCGTCGACAACCGATATTTCAACCCTTTAAATGCCTTTTATTACATGCATATGACACTACAACATAAAAAAAAAAAAAATTCCCAACAGAGTGCCAAAAATTATTACTTTCGGTCAAATAGTTTTTCAAATATTTAAAAAGATCGCGTTTTCTCTCTCCACTTTCTCCCCCCCCCCACTCTCCCCTCTCTTACTTTCTCTCTCCCCCTGCCCATTCACACTCTCGCTTCCTTCATCCAGTTGCCTTCCCCACTCTCTCCCCTCTCCCTCCCTCCCTACACTCTCTCCCCCTCCCTTTCCCAATCTCTCCCCTCTCCAATCCCCTTTCTTCCTCTCTACTCTTCCTCTCTCCCCACACTCACTCTCTCCCCACACTCTCTTTCTTCCTCTCCACACTCTCTCCTTCCCCGCACTCACTCCCTCTCTCCCCGCACTCTCTCCCTCTCCACACTCTCTCTCCCTCCCCGCACTCTCTCTTTCTCACCTCACTCCCTCCCTCCCCACACACACTCTCTTTCCCTCCCCACACTCAGTGTCTCCCTCCCCGTACTCACTCTCTCCGCATTCCCTTTCTCCCTCCCCACACACACTCACCCCTCTCACCCCGCACTCTCTCTCCCCACACTCATTCTGCCTCTCCCTCTCCCCCCTCTCCACTCTCTCCCTCCACACACACCCTCTCTCTCTCCCTCCCCGCACTCACTCTCTCTCCATCTCTCTTTATTTATTTCTTGTCTGACTCTGTTATACTATGGACTTGTGAAATAAACTATGTATATTTATACTACATAGATGTTTCATAGTTTGTTTCAATAAAAAGTAATGGGAAAAATACTTATTCTATAATAAAGATAAAATTCTTATAATTGTTTTAAAAGAATATATAAAATGTTTATTCTTGATCTTTTTACTTCAAAATGGATTTAGCAGGATTGTTTATTTATGAAAAAAATGAATACAATTTAAAATGATACGGGCGATAACTTCACACCACAGAAAATACTGCTTCCTATTTCACACTTAGATCATCGCGTTGTTTGTTTGCGTATTAAATGAAGAAGAATTTTATATGCTTGAAGAACAATACTTATATGTTTATTAACATGCAAGGAAGATGATATGTCAGCTTGAAATCCCAGTTGGATATTATTTGTTGTACGAATCGTTTTATGAAAAGTAGATGAGCAGCTGACGCCCTAATGTATCCACATGCTGAGAGGATGTCTATAAAATATTCTTTATTTAACTAAGTATGTAATTAGGGTTTGACATTCACTATCCCTTTCCCTTGTATACATTAAGTTTACTTAAATTTTAAAATTTTATTTTATTATTTTGAAATATTTGTCCTGTTCAGTCATCATGTCATTGAATGTTAGCCAAAATATGACTCTTTTGTTGTTCTACGCATTACCCGGTACGTCACATTTTCTCATTGCATATAAATGTTCATTTGGTGCTTTATTCAAATGCGTACTGTTAATAAACCTACATGAAACCTTAACGTTTTTGAATGGATAGTGTTAAATGATTAACCGTTGGGCCATCAGTGTAATTTGAGTAAATGTTCACCTTATAACAGGCCTTAGCCATGCTTCTGGGAAAATTACAATCATTCAATTAAGCAGTAGAGCCGTTCAATAAAAAAGTTTGCCTCGAGGCATGTAACATTATTATTATAAAGTTTGTAAATCATAAAACATTTGAAACAAGCAGTCAATTCTTAGTCTGAAGGAAGAATTTGTTATGAAAAGGACCTCTTGTAGGTTCATTCACCCTTATTTATTACATGAAT